CCAGCATTTGGATATAGGACAGAGACTTGAATTAGTTACATGAGTATGGGAAAAGTAGGCAGAACACAACAGCATGTGCTATCTGAGCACGAGCCAGTTGGCAGTGGGCACGAGGACTGGCTGGCCAGTCTGCCTGCACATATGACTGACTAACTGGGGTAACCACAGCACACGCTGTCTCTTGCCCAAACAGATGCCATGGAAGGCATAGGAAGAAGAGGACTTGGATTATTGCACTGAGAGGTTGAAACTACAGAGCAGTAAACAGACATGAAGAAGATAGCAAGCTTGTTCAGTTTTGTTCTTTCTCAAGAGGTCTGTTTATATATGAATTTATGTTTCTGTGTGGATTTGTGTCTCCACAAATGCTCTCAAAGCATATGAGTAAACGGTAAGTAAAAGTTAAGACCTTCTCAGTTGCCAGCGTTCACATTCAAGGCATAGCACTAAGGATAAGAAACACTCCCTTAAATAAAGAATAGTACAAACTCAATCCACTTTAGTATCAGTCTAAAATGATAGAGGGACGCTTTTCCATAATGCATTTATACACAAAGAAACAGTTTGTCCCCATCTTGCCTGCAATGAAAACAGCACAATGTTCTGCAGTTTCTAATTCACAATTAAAAGTCAAGACATCCATAACAAACTGTGTTAGGAGCTACTCTACATATTCTTATTTTTTGTCTGCTTTGTAAATCCAGAATGCTTTTTTTCTTGTTTACTAAACATGTTACTCTACCTTGTGCCCAATTACAAATTCAATTATAAAAGGGCAAGGAGTTTTCTTACTGAATAGTCCCACTCACAAAGGAATCTGAATCAGATCCAACCTTTTAGACACTGTAATTGGACTTCCTAAATAAATTTTAATGATAGCAATTTTGCAAAATGTTATGGAACAACAATACATTATCAGGTACCGACTGTAACAGCGTCATCTCATGCTTGTTTGCAATGACACCACCAAGCTTCACCAGTTTTGAAAGAGACCTAACAACTTTAATTTCTTCTGAGACACAAGGATAATCTCAAAATCGGGTGTTGTCTAAGGCTAGATGTGTTCTGGTGAACTACAACACTTGCCTGGATGTTACTGCACTTCAATAAGCATTAAATCACCAGCAAGGCTGCTACCTGAGTTTTGGCTCATGCCGACGAGCGTTCTCCCAGAGAGTGCCCAGGCATGCTTCAGGGATTAGCGTGGGCCTGGTAAGACTTTCAACACCAATTCTGATGCAGCCACCTGCTTTTCAGAAAGGTTTATCTGTACAAAAATACATGCATTGGAGACTTTGGCGTCAGGGCTGGAGAATGCTCCTGGCCCCTTACTGGTATTACACAAAATAAATGTCTCTGTTATGGTCCCAGTTGATTGTCTTCCCCAGTTTTGTTCCCTAAGCAGAAGTTAACAATGTATCAGCTAGGCATCAGAGAATATCTCACATAAAACAAAACAAAATGTGCTTCTGAGTATTAACTGTAGCTCCTAAGTTCCTTCTCCATAGTCCCCAAAACTGTCAAATTCTTTATCATATAAGAGGTTTGGATTTGTAATGGTAAACATAACATTTACAGTCATTTAATTAAGTATTGTATATTGATCATACATAAATTTTGTACCTAGGTCTATTTAATGTTTTGATTAAACATTCCTGGGAAGCATTTTATACCCATATGTATGTATATATATATATATTTTTATATATATATATATATATATATAAAATATAATTAGCTGGTTGTGTAACCCTCTTTCACTGGCTAACTTAACATCCAACATGATTTGAAACTCTGCTTGCCTCTGCCTGCAACAGGTGCCAAGTAACTTTTCTCCTTTTACTTCTCTCCAAAACAGGGGGACACCATAAGGGTGGTTACTCCTCCAAACTGTAATTAGAAGGGCTAATTTGATTATGTCCCAGTATTGGCCAGTTTTGCCAGAGAGTACTTTACTAGCCTAGTAGAATTTCGTTTGGTGCAAAATTTCTAGGCTAGTAAAAATTCCAGTATAGACAATATTAGAGTGATGAAAGGCTTTTTTTTGCTAGGATAGCTTATCCAGCACAAACTGTCCAAACCAAGTGTGTTTTTTTGCTGCAATAAACTGCATCTGCACTGTAACAGTAAACATTGCCTAGTATATAGCAAGCCTCAGCCTAAAGGGATTTTGGATTATTACTTTATATTCTAGGATGGAGCAAGAGATGGTACAACATTTTTATTTTGGTATCTGAGAGGATTTTCAATCAAGACAGCTCAGTTATAAAGCTACAAAAATTTTAACTATAAGAATTTCTACTTGTTCTTACTTTAGACTGTGCTTCAGTTATTGCCCAAGACAATGAGTATCTTGCTCTGACACAGCTTATGTCAAACAACTAAATTAAACTTTGTGAAAAAGACATTAACTCTACACTTGGGAGATCTAAACAAAATACTGATAAACTTCAGTTGCATAGAAGGTTAAACCTTTCATCGAAAGAAATTTTATAATCAACTTAGTTGAGCTGTCCTGCCCATGATTAATGCAAACACTATCTCCAAGGGAAAGACACCACTGCAGATACAATTCATGAAACACTAACTGTGAGATTCTAATTAAGATACAGGTTGCTGCATTAAGCAGATTAACCTATATTAAGGAACTTACCCTTCCAAGTAGTTAATGAAATGGTATATCCCAAAACCTTCTTCAATAAAAAATTATTCTGTTTCAGGTGTTAAATTTCACTGTGAGAAAAATAAAATGCACTGACCCCAAAATAACCCCACTTTGGTATCCCTCAGTATCTGTGCCTCTCTGCAGTACAAAAGAAGCTCCCATAACTTTTTTATTTCCATACATATTGGGCAATATATAGGGCGAGTCTGAGCAGTAAAAGTGCCAGGAGTGCATGCCACTGATGGAAATAAAATTATTAAACTCTCTTTCTTAAGACTAGTGCCAAGCAAAAACTCTTACCTCATGCACAGATGGCTGTATTCTTCCCATCTGTTAGTAACTTCTGGCCTCCAACTCCTGCAGGATCCTAACATCAGTCCTCTAAGCATATTAGCACGTCTGGGGTATATTAAGAGTCAGAGAGATCTGTTCTGGGTTTACACAACTATTTGAGCAGAGATTGGGGCTCTTCCTCAGTTTAGATGTGTTTGTGCACATAAGAGATTGAAAGATCAAAACCTACCAAAGCAGCAGGACTAGACTGAGATCGTAGTTGGCTCGTGGGAATACTGAAAATAGTTTAAAATCCTTGTTCTGTTGAACAGCACCTATGAAGTTGAATTTTCTCATGTTGTGCAAGCTGGCATGTCACAGTTGGTAAAAGGAGCTGATATACACTTCTAGCAGTGTCACAAATTACTTGAACAACCATATCATTCTTCACCAGTTGTTATACTAGAAAAGAGATGTTTCCTTTTCAAATTGAAAACTGCATGCAGCACAGACACCAGGTGTCTTTACTTACGTCCTCCAAGTGTTGACATCTCTATTTGTAGTACAGAAAAAACACATTTACTGAAGTGGAGCCTCCCGAACTTTGGGTTTTGCAGTGCTGTTGATATACAAACTATTTCCACACCACACATGGAGGCAGGGCTGCCTACCAGGAGATACTCAGCTGAAGTGTAGGATGAGCATCCCAAATCTGCTACTGTTGACAATCAGTTACTACCAGCCTGGAAGCACTTACCTAGTGGCTTACACAGATTTCTATACATAGGCACTAATTATTACTGTGAATGGTAATTGATCAGAACAGCTTTATCATCTAATTCATTCAGTAAATCTTAGATTCAATACAGTAACAGTAGAAATAACTTTAATCAATATAGATTTGTGTTTAATAATTTTGAGTGAAAGTCATTGCTACTACAAGGCCAGCTTAACAGTAGACATAGTGATAGGAGATGAAATGATCAGGAAATGTCAGACGAGAAGGACCAAAAGTAAGAAATAAGTCAGCAATTTCCACTGGCAAAGGTCAGCAAATCTGCCTGACCATAAGCAAAGAATGCATACCTGTATCGGTATGTACACAACAGAGATAAGAGATAACTTGTACAAAACAAGATAACTTGTTAATATCATTTTTCTTTTACCTTAAGGAAACTAAGAGAATGATAGACTAATCAGAACAGTAAGGGTCACATTTCTAATCTCCCGAGATGAGAACTTTGGCCTCTAAACATAAGTAAGATTTCTTCACCAATGAACCTTCATTCCTTCATGAACTTTAAGATAAAATGTACCTAAGTGTGTTATCAGAGCTCCAGATAGTCTTAGATTTCATATTACTCCTATATATGGGGGGGAGAGGTGGTGATTTCTTATCACACCTGCATAGCTTTGTTCTTTTGCTTTCCAATGTGCTTAAGGAGGTAAAGAAAGATTTAAAAAATACATATTTATTTCTGGGTTTATTTCTTTCTCTGGGTTGGGTGCCTCAAAATGCTTCACTGCTTGGCCCATTATCTGGAGCTGCCTGCGAACTCCTCACAGGCGCAGAGAGAAGGTGAAGGGGATGGTTGTGATCCAGCACGTAAAGTGACTTGGCCATGAATTTTACTTTCCTAAGGTGGGGAAATGACCGTGGGGATACAGGGCCCTGCGAGGTGGGAGGCGGCCTCGCCCGTACACGGCACCTCCCGTGGGTGTCGGTACCCTCGGGGATAAGGGCACTGCCCCGGGTTGTTGAGGAAACCGAGACCAGGAAACTTTTCACCGCAGCATAAACGGGACTGCGGCAACCACCAGAGCCGGCCAGGAGCATAACGGAACGCTTCCCTTTTCCGGTGCCGACGAGCAGCCCGGCCTGCAGCGGCGGGACGAGCCGGCAGCCCTCACACTGTCCCGCCGTGGCTCCGGGACACCTCAGCGCGGCACCCCGCCGCCATCTTGCGAAGGCGCTGCCGGGCCGAGCCCGGGAGCAGCGCCTCTCGACGGCGAAGGGCCGGGCTATGTGGAGTCTCTGCCCGCCACAGTGAGGGGCCGGGCGCCCTGCAGCCCTGCCGGCCATGGTGAGGCGCAGGGCGCTGTGGAGCTGGTCCCTGCAGCTCGCCGCGCTACCGTCGGCGGCGGGCTGGTCAGGTGGGACGCCGCAGCCGTTCAGCAGCTCCTGTTGGAGAGCCGCGGAGCCGCCGCCGTGCAAGGGGTGGAGCGGCACCATGGAGGAGGAGGAGGAGGAGGAGGAGGAGAAGAAGGGGGACGAGACTCCTCAGGGGCGGCAGCAGCAGCTAGGGAGGTGAGCGGCGCTCGAGCGGCAGCAGCGCTCCAGGGGCGGGGGTCGCTGCCCCCGCGCCTTGCTGTGGGCAGGGAGGGACCGGACCGAGCCGAGCGGCGCCTCCCGCTCCGTGCCCGTCCGGAGGGGAGCCACTGCTCGACTTGCCGCCGTCAGAGCCCCGCAGGCGGCCGGGAGGAGCGGAGCACCTGCTCCGAGCTCAGCAGCGGGGCTCGCCAGACACACACACGGTACCGGGGTCCCGCCGGTGAGTGTGGGCGGGATCGGGCTGAGCCCCTGCGAGAGGCGGGGGGAGCGGGGCAGAGCCGCAAAAGTTGGTGGGTGGGTGCGCGGGGCTGGCGAGCCCCTCTCCCGGCCGGGCAGCAGCAGCACAGCCCGGCGGCCCCGGAGCTCGGCGTGTGCCCCTGCCCAGCCCCTGCCGCGCCGCCCTGGCTGGGCACAGACCCCGACGGGCACCAGCTTGGACGGATGGCCCCCATCCTTTCGCACCGGTGAGCGAAACCCTGGAAGAAAAAGTGTTGCGTTCGTCCCCCATCTCCTAGCGGCGAGGCTTCGGTTTCCGTCAATTGACAGTAACACATGCTGCAGCAGCGCTCCGAAAGAAACAAGTTATATAATCGCTTACCAAAAATCGGCTTCATGGTATCGGCGGTTTAGTGGATGTTTTCATTCGGAGAGGAAACACGGACAGATGTTTATCGCAAGGCCGGGGGGGGGGGCGGAAGAGGGTTCGCATTCCATAGTTCGAAGTGGAAGATATTTACGAAGTCATTTAATGTAATTAGTGCCGTCAAATAATCTCAATGATCGTCAATTATCTCTAGTACGGATTTGGGGAAAGCGTTTGAATGTCTTGATGGCAGCCAGTGAAGTTCATATTGGACTTGTGCAGAAATGGTTCTTCTAGTGACGATTATGATTTCTTATATTTGCTAAATGGCGATTATGAGGCAAGTTTTCAGTTTTAAAGAAAAGTACTACTTATACTTAAATATTTTTCTTTCGTTTTAAAACTGCACCAACTATAATAGCATCAAAATTAAAGGGAGTGACAGGGAAATCACTTCTGTTTTCCGGCAAAAGACCCTTGAAAAGAGTAATGTATTTTTGAAATTCATAGTAGCAGCTGTATCAGTTAAGAAAGAAGGAAGCCTGATTCATTTTGTAGGTAAGATTTTGGGAAAGACAAGAATAAGATTTTTTTTTTCTTCTTAATTCAAGAATTATTGCAACATTTGCTTTAAAAATGGTACAGATTATCTGAAATTGAAATGCCTATTATAGAAAGTAATGACAATTTTTAATGCCTGGAGATTGGAAAGCCCTGTCTTGATTCAGTTGTTGTGATGGAAGAGGATGTGTTCAGGAGAGGAGGAAGAAAGAGATGACAGTGAAACAGTTGAAATATAAACACAGTTAATTTGACTTCAGCTTGGCCCAAATCAAAAGATATGTGCAACCTTTTTAGGAGGAAGCAACCATTATTATTATTATTTTCTTCACTTGCATTAACTAAGCAGATTTGAAGAAAAACCTCAGAAGAAGTCTGCTATTTTCTCAGCCTTTATAAGCTCAAGATTGAACAAAAATGGCTAATTCTTCATTCAGAAATAGCTTTTAAGGTTTTTTTCAGCAAATAGGAAGGCAATTATTTTGTCTGTGATGAGAAAAACAGAAATGCTGCCATATTAATTAGTGTCCTTTCACCTGCTGTGAAATTAGTTTCACTTTTTGTCACGTGTACAAATCCCTTACTGATTTCACTTGCATTATTTTCCAGTCAATTGCTCTTGCCGTGTGTTGGCTAGGTGATCAGAATCCTACTTCTAATATTCTTGGAGCCAGGACCATGGAAAATCACTTGATCATCTTGTATCTAAATGCAGATTTGAGTAAAAAGGATTTTTGTGTAAACCATGTGTTGCACTTGGTTTGAACATTCTTAGAAAATCTAGGAAAGAGGGTACATATTATCATATTATGTGCTCTTTGCATGTAACATCTTGGTGTTTAGCAGCTGTACAAGGAAGGGTTTGAATAGCCAACAACTGTGCCCAAGCAGATAAACCTTACCAAGCGGTTCAGGAAAGAGAATGGGCATTGCCAAGTGACACAACACTGCTGCCATTGTGTTCCTACTGTGAAAAACAGGATTTGGTAAGATGATGTGTGAGTGAAAAATCAGGTGGTAAAAACTGTATCAAGAGTTATTTCTTCTCTAAGACCTGTTACTGGGGTTGGAGCTGGTGGTGCTACTGTCTGGTAAGTAAGGTTTATCATAACATTTCAGGTTTTATTGCTTAAAATATTTGAAAATAGGTCAGTTGTTAAGGCAGAAATCTCCCATGCTGTAGACTGGTTTATGAGGGTTGAACCTCACTGGTTTCAGTGAGGTTCAACTGTTTCCGGTAATGAGATTGTATCAATAACAAGTTGTTTATGTGTGTCTATGCAGTCGTGTTTACATGAAACACTTTGACTCCTTAAAACACCTACATATTTAGGATGGTGCCTTGAAAATTAGTAGATGGCTCACATTTGTGTTGGAACTATGCCTCGACCCTGCCATAAGGGTAAAAAAAAAAAAGGAACCAACGAACCAAATTCTCATATTAACACTTTTGTTGTTGACTAACAACCAAAGCACTTCGCGTTTCATTTAGAGTACATGAAGAGACAGTGTAATCTAAACTTGTGGGGATGGAGTTGAAGGCTCTTTATAAGGAAAAGTGTTGTTGTGAAAAGCATAAGCATATCTTGACATTTCCAGTTTCCTTGACTATTGATGTTTTGCTGTGTCTAGTGTACTGCCCCTTGGAATTTGTTTTATAATGGGTGTGTTTCAGCTGAAGAACTATAAAGGTGCTGTGTGTTTTCTGGCTTTTCAGTATGAAGTTTTGAATATTCAAAACTTTTATTATTTGGAAAGGCTGATGACCTTTTGGCTTAACTTGTGTGAAAGATGGTCTTTGAACAGTTGCATTCAAGAATAGCATATGTTTCCACAGAGAAAAACTTATAATTTCCTTATCTTAGCTGACTTCGAAATTATTTGCTTGGATTTCAATAAATTTGAATTCAAATATTATAAATAGTTCTGTAAAATCCATATATCCATGGGGTGCTTGTAGATACATACACAGGCAGAGGGAGAGAGAATGTTGTTGGGACAAGCAAAAGTGGAGTTTAGGTTGAAATTTAAGTAGATTTAGAAAGAATTTGGGAAAGTATTTTCATGTTGCAGAGAAATTACATTGGGCCTTATGTGCTTGGACTTTGAACTGAAAAGAGGGAATCAAATAGACAAGCATTTAAATGAATATAAACAAAATTGTAAGACTGTCTATTAACTTGAAAATAAAATTGAGTTTAGTGCTTGGGTGTTGCTGCACTTCCTGGACAACTGAGGTTTTATAATGTTTTAAAGGACTATTCTTGGTGTGAGTCTAGAGAAAGTTTGCATAGGAGTTTGTTCCTTCCTGGCATGGAGAGAAAAGGAAAAAGAAAATTAAAAGGCTTAGTAAATGAGGTGGAGATAACAATTACATAGTTGCAGACATAAAAGTTCCAGAGTTGATGATAAATGAACTTCAGATCTTACTTTGCCGTGTAGATCCTCTGGATCAAAGTCCTAACATGACTTCTGCGCACTTTCACGGAAGCAGTTCTTATACCGACCACATGCTACAAAGGAAATCAGTTTTATCCCAGCGCATGTTCAAGTGGAGCCTTCATTTCATTACATGTAATAATACTTGGTTTTAGTCATATCTAATTGACATTAAGATGTTAGATGGAAAACCTTTACCCTTAGGATGGAGTGCGATCTCATAATATTTTAAAAGCTTCATTTTAGTTAAGAAAAACCTGTGCTAACAGCTTCAAGACCATAGTAACTTAAAGTACCAAACCCAAGATCCATAGGCTGTTATCACACAGGAGGGGCTAAAGTGTGTTTTTAAATGCTCGACTTCAAAGTTTGGCAGTTTTTTCTAACAGTAAACCCCATCCTGGCAAGGTGTGCCTGTGTCATTAACTGTAGTCACATCAGTAAACCAGTTGAAGCTAATGAGCTACTCATTTGCATAAATAGTTACAGGAGTGGAGCTGGTGCCAGAACGCCCAAGCTGGGGACTGGTTCGTAGCTGGGCTGGTAGGAGTTTTATGTTTGCTCTTTTGGAAAAGCATTATTGAAATTCTATACAAGTGTGAAGGGCCATCCATAGAGATTATAGTTATTGTTGGAATCCGTGGCTTACCTGGGCAGCTGTGTGCATGTGCCATCTTCGCTTATTTTACCATTGATTTAAAAATTGTCTGTTTGATTTATGATCTATTGTCTTGCACACCATCATACAGCTGTAACACACAAGCCTTGCTCCTGTGTGTGTCAGCCTGAGTCCTGCAGAGCAGGTAAGAAAACTTTCATTCCAGCTCTTGTGCTTTCAGCATTCTTCCCTGTACATTAAGTAGTCATATGAAATTAGTTGTTTAGGGAGAGCAAAGGAAAGCAATTTCCGTTCTGGTGTAGGGAAATTTGACTCTGCCTTCCCTTTGGTGACTGCTTCAGCAATAGCATGGAATTACACTGCCTTAATCATAATGATAGTCTAGGCTGCTCTTTTAAATGTGGTGGCCACATGCCAACTTTTGGATTCTTTTATTCAAGACTGCAGTAAAAGATGAGGGTAAAGAGGAAAATAACTTATTTTAATAGGCCTGTATTGCTAAAGAAATTGGCTCCTAGATCTGTCATCTCTGTTAAACTGTGTGTCCCCTATGGATGGCTACTGTCATATCAGGGATCATAACCTAGACAGAATGTGTATGTAACAGAAAACTTCTGTCATATTAGATACAGTTCATAAACATGTTGGGGACTACAAAATGATCGTATTGGGCAGGGACAATCAGCTGAGGCACCTGAAAGCAAAGGGATAATGTATTGTCCCAGATCCAGGAAGAGACATCTTTATGCAGTATATACAATGCCTATAGCTGGT